TATATTGTATATATATATATATATATATAAGTTGTAAATCCTATAAGAGAATGGTACAAAATAAAGTTGTTGTTGTTGTGTCCTTTTCAATTGTTTTCTATTTATTCATATCTATGTATTAACATAGAAGAAAAAGCACAATAACTGCTAGTGTGGATGCTTGGTGGAAAAGTAGAGGAAGTGGCCATTCATATAGTAGTTTTATCTGGTATGTATGTATGGTACACATTTTCAGAAATTCTTGAAACTTGAAATATGAATGGATGAAAACTTGCAGTGGCAGATCTTAAGGAAATGAGTTGGATCTGGAGACATTCCCCTTTGGGCAATTTTTTTCTCTTTTACAAAGAGATCAAAGACACCTCTGCCATTGACAAATGAGTCATTAGTGTGATTATGTCATATCATGTATCATTACAGCAGGACCAAAAAACACGCATTCCCTTTCTGAAACCAGGATCCATTCCTAACTTATAACCAAAACAATAAAGAAACACAAGAACACAGACAAATAAACATTTAATCATAAACCAAAAAGACTCGTAATAGCAAATATCAACGACCTAATTATTTTTATTCAACAGTGTATAATCAAAGGGCATGCAACTGTGGTAGGATTAGAACCTGTAAAGTAATTGCCTATGAGACAAGGATAAAATCAGGTCGAGCCTGTGAATTTGCCAAAACAAAAGGTTTCAATTCATATTAGATTGCCAAATGTGATATATTTTCAAAAAGCTCACATTTCCATGTGTTTGCTTTCACTACTTTGCACTACATATAATTGCATGTTACTAAATAAACGTTTTTATGGATGGGGAGTATAACAGATTCTCATTACACAGACCTCAGGTAATGAAGGTGATGAAGGCCCTGACATGATCGAGAACATAGACGATTCAACGGTACTTACTTTGGTATGCCTTAGCTCAATAAAGATGTAACTGAACAAACCATTTTTATAATGGAAAGTATAATTGGATTCCTATTACACATTCCTCATGCAACAATATTGATGAAGATTCCAATATGATCAAGGCGATCCACATGTATAATACAAATTACTTCAATTGCAATGTGTTTATTTGAATCATTATCCTTAACATTAATTATAATTGGACTCTTATCACAAAGATTACCATTGGTGCTATTGTAGGCGATGAAGATACGACCATCACTGCTAGACTTAGAAAGCAAGTCAGTCAAGACATTGAAAAGCAATCTGATGCAAACCACAACAAGAAAATATTTGGGTTCTCAGTTGTTTTCTTTGAAAGAGAAACACAAGCTATCAGTCAAAACTACAAAGTATCTTCAAAGGCTCTTATATGGTAAAACAGAATGCTGGAAACCCAGAAGCAATAACCACAGGTCTTGATGGCTTGTACGAGCATCCATTTGATGATCATTTTGCATGTGGTTCATGGTGCCATCATAAAAATGGTAAAAAGAAAAAAGAAAAAAAGAAAAAAAAAAAGAGAAAAAAAAAAGAGAAATATCCTTCTCTGCCTTATGGAAGATCCCTAGAAGATAGTGGTTTGCCATAAAGTTTGGAAACCACTATCAAAACTAGCAAACCTGAAATCAACTCAAGCCAATGAAAATTCGAATGGTACTGTTAGTACTACCCAGACCTAAAATCAACATGCTTGAAATATATTTAAACATGTTTTTAACATGTTCAAAAATTTTAATTCAGACAAAAACACATTTTAAACATGTTCGCTTAAACATGTTTTAAATACGTTTGCAAAACATGTTGAAATCATGTTACTTTGTAAACATGACATGTTTACCGAAAATATTCAAATTAATTTAATTATTATAATTATTATATATAAGCCGGCATGCAGTTTATATATAAGTATGTATATCAATTAGAGCCCAGTATGTTGGAACATGAATCTTGCACACATCTGCACACAGAGAATTACAAACTGGAGTATTTGCAAAAGAATATGATACCTGGCAATAACATTTTTGTTGATTTGCAGTTACATAAAATATTGTATACGTGTTTCGCTTTGTTACTCGTTTATAGCTTATGCTGTATATCATTTTGTTTTCGACCTCACAACGAGAAAACATTTTACATTTTCCTCACTGCCCTTGAAGAACACTTGTAATAGCAGCATCTTGGATACGTTTCTGCCCAATTCTCTGATCTTCATCATTCCAATGGCAAAAACATCCTGGTGCAAACTCATATTTCCATTCTCTAAAAAGATTGAAGGTTTAACATTTAGACTATGCTTACATGGGGTCAGTAAAGTTTGATCCATTCACGTTTTAGGCTAGTTTTTGCCATTTGCATGGGATTATCCTCGTTTCGACACAGAATGTAGTAATGTTTTCACAAGTCTGTGCAAGCTTCAAAGTATATTGACCACAAAGTGGGACCTACTTTTCTGCAGGTTCAGGTCTTGTGTGGCTAAACTGACCTAAAATAATTTTGCACCCGAGACGAAAGAAAAGTTCGGTAAGCTTGACCTTTTAAGTTCAGTGTCATGATGTTGTACTTATCTTAATACAGATTGGATCCTTTCTTTATTCAGCTGCCGACGGTCTTGAGGGTGAAGATCTTATTGGATTGTTTAAAGACGAAGCGGAAATGAGGCACTTTCTTCCTGTGTTTAAAGAAAGGAAACTTTTAAAGACTCTAATAGGGAAATTTATCGATGACGACAGTAAGGTAATATGTAGTTGAGCAATTTTCCGGCGGCCCACTTTCTCTCCTATTCGCACCACTCTTTTGTAATTCCCAGTCCCCTTGGCTGCTTCGTACTGAGCATGGGTTAACGGTTTTGGCACAAAGTCAAACGAAGGTTTGGAGGAAAAGTCAGGAAGATATTGTTCACGGCCTCGAGAAATATATTGTTGACTTCATCGTTACTAGTCTTTTTCATAGTTCTGTAGTGGATTGGTATATTGGATATATCTTTTGACCTTCATTTTCTCTCGCTTTTATTTTTCAGCCTCCTATTTCCACAAATAACTCTCCAGCTAGTGACTCCCCAGCTCGAATCACAGAAAATAATGTAGAAGAAGTTTCCACTCAAGAATCTTCTGGTGGTTCTAGTAGTAGTTTGGTCGATACCCCTCAACGGACACCTCAAAACCGTGAGAGTGTAAATGTTAATGAAGTTCTTTTGTATTTTTATAATCAGAATATTACCGTATTTTTATGTACTGAGGGCAGTTGAACACGATCTGAGTTGAGACCTAATGGGCATACAAATATGCTATCTGAAATCTAAAGCAGAACGGGATTCCTTTATTATTTTTAAGGCAATTACGTCTCAGAATCGTAGCCAGGGTTTCAGTTATTCAACAAAATCCAAAGAAAAAATTAAAAGAATTAGGCTAGCAAAATCAAAAACTGCTGTTATTGGGAGATATGGGGGGAAAATGTATGTTCCTGTGAAAAGGAAAAGGCCGTAAAACCCGTGAAAAGTCATGATCACCTGAATTTCAACCATATCGAGCCAACAACGTCCGATTCTTTTGGGCTTTCTTGATACCTAAAACGACAATTGCAGTCACTTTGTAGGTGACCCAAAATTCGAGAGAATATTGCCAATGTTCATATTGAGGAGTCGTCCTTACTTTGTGGATCCATATGTGTAGCTTGTTCGATGGAAAGTGCAATGATTCGTTGAAAAGACTGTTTACCACATCAATGCATGTGTCTAACGTGCAAAGGATCTTGGGTTGTGGAAGGTAAGCATTGAAAAAATCATGTTTCTAGTGTGCTTGTAGAACATGCACAGACCTTGATTTTTTTATTTTGCACATTTTCTTTATTCTTATTCATTCTCTGAAATGTTCTTTATCTATTATATTATTAATTTATTTTATTGATTTAATTTATTTATTTGTACCCTGACCATGGTGTGATCGGGTATGGCTATGATTGTCCCACCAAAAATTAAAAAAACGTTTACGCTTCTTGACAGTCATGGTAAGAAAATGATTACTCTATTTTATACTAGGTTAACGCAGCTATTAGTAGCTAAAATACATTACCGTTTGGATAAGAAAAAACAACTAAATCTATATGTGCTAACGCATTTCATATGCAGGTATAAAACATGTCAAGCAAGTAGAAGTGTGTGACTGTGAATCTCATGCTCTCACATTTTGTTAGGTTTAACTTTTGGCCTGGTTCTCCACAAAAGCCAAAAGTTGGTTTTCACTTCCACTTGATGAACAAGATGGAAAATTTTTCCTTCAATCACAAGGTTCAGTATATGACTTTTCAGAAGTACTGAATGCATTGCAGACTCAACTAGGACATTGAGTTGTGAGTTAAATGAAAGTACACTGTAAATTCGATCGACCTGATTCAGCCCCAAAGTCCAAATCAATATTTATGTACTCCGGGCAGTTGAATCCGACCTTAGTTGATACCTAATCACTATGAATTCCTACATTAATGAAAAACCCATGAAAATGTTAAGAAAATGCCATGAAAAAGTTTTCATTGGCCATGAAATCAGCATTTTTGAGATTTCATGGTGTAATGTGAAGCCATGAATTTCCCATGAAATAATTTTCATGGGCCATGAAATAGATTTCATGGTGTAATGTGAAGCCATGAATTTCCCATGAAATAATTTTATGGGCCATGAAAACTATAAAATCTGCGAGCAGGACTGTTTTCATGGGCCATGAAAATAGTTATTGCACCATGAAAATAGATATTATGGGCCATGATTTTCAACGATGAGAAGAGGGGTCATTTTCATGGGTCATCAAAATAGCATGAAATTGAAATTCATGGGCCATGAATTGTTTTGTCTTGTCATAGAAATGCAATTCATGGGCCATGAATTGTTTTGTCTTGTCACAGAAATAAAATTCATGGGCCATGAATTGTTTTGTCTTGTCACAGAAATAAAATTCCTGGACAAGGAATTGTTTTGTCTTGTCATAGAAATGCAATTCATGGGCCATGAATTGTTTTGTCTTGACACAGAAATAAAATTCATGTGCCATGAATTGTTTTGTCTTGTCACAGAAATAAAATTCATGGGCCATGATTTTTTCACATTGAAATACAATCTGTAATGAATTTTTCATGGCTCATGAGATATTCTAGTTGGTACTACAAAAAATAAATGAAATTAATTCTATAGTCAATAACAAGAGAGAATTTTGCATGCACATGCAGGAATCTGCTGACAATGAAACAATGATGTTTTATCAGTTATACAGCATTGCAGATGCATGCTTGAAAAGTGTTGGTAGTAACAAAGCATTTTGATGGTAGTGTTAATTTACTGAAATGGCAAGTGGATCTTAAAATTTAAATTGTCACAGTAGTACTACCTGGATGCTACACATAGCTATATAGTGTCTAAAAACCAGATGGTTTTAGTTTTATCAACTGCTGTTGTCAGTGGATGGGATATATGGCGGAAGAGGACTGGCATTGCTGCTTGGCTCAAGGAATCTTCTGTGCTGTACCAAAGACCGCTCGTTGAATCAAAATGCACTCTTTCGTACAGACTTACAGCGGCCCACATGAACTCCTTGCCAGAAAAACTGTGCCTGTAGATACGACTGACAACACCAAACCTTGGTGATGACTGGGGACAGTTGACACAAACAATAGTAGGACATTTGCTTGGATCCTGGCTTGAAACATACCGGTAGCTGCTGCTGCGCTCTTTGGCTTCCACTTGTATGCACTTTTCCATTTTGGAGAGTCGTGGATATCACTCATGACATCTTTTCCCTCTTTCTCCCTTCCATGACTTTGAAGCATTTCTGCAATTTCTGCAACACCATAGCTCCTAACTAGTCTCGGTCCCAAAGGTAGATAATAAAATGGTCTTCTGGGGATGTTTCCACTCCTGAATCTTGGTTCTTTACATTTAGGGCAAGTAATATCATCTTTGTAATCATCACGGAAAAGTACACAGTCATTGACACACACATGAAATACAATTTCAGGTACAAGAAATGGCTTAATTATTCTGTAGGCCTGTTGGTAATTAGTGGGTAGTAGATTGCCTTCAGGAAGAATCGTGTGCCAAAGTTGTAAAATCTTTGAAAATGCCTCTTTGCTCAATGATGGGTGCGAGGAAAACCAATCAAACAAATATATCATTGTTTCCATCAAGGTACATTTGATGCTGCTATGGAGAACAGAACGTTCTGCAATTGCCTCATCAATATCATGAATCTGCCCTGATAAGAATGCTTTAGTTACGCTTGACAAGTTTCCATGTGAATTGACCATTGACACATCTGCATTTTCATCCTACAATAAAGAATTCAGTGTTATTTATTGTTGAAGCAATACTTGATGCAAATCGTTTAAATCTCATAAAATGCTCCTGCTATTCTATTCAAGTATCAACCAACTCAAACAGCCCTGTTAGTGCCGGACATTTACCGTAGTGTTTTTTGTAGTTGAGTGTTTTACTATAAATGTTTATAAAGTACATAATAAAGCTTGAAAAAGGACCTACACAAACTCTGCATTAAATATCAATATAGTTATACCTCACTATCTGATTCAGAGCTGCTACATGATTCCTCTGCAGATGTGTCACTGGAATCTTCACTATCAACCACAGATATTGGATTTTCTAAATATTCATCAACATTTTCTTCTGTTCCCTGAAATTAAGTAAAGGAAATAAATTTTACACTAAGTCTTGGAAATGGTTCTATGTGGAAATAAAAGAAAACGTAATCTTACTAAGGTTTTTAGTATTACTATGGATTTCACCGAACTGAAAAATGTTTTTGAAGTATTTTGTAAAATTATAACAGTTAACAAAAAGCTGGAGGCCAACTTAAGTTTATTAATAGACCAGTTTCGAATTCCAAATTACCGCTGTGTTCCTTGATTACAGACTCAATTGCACAGGGTTAGCCTCGTATCAGTGTTTAAATATTCACAAATACCAACGGTAAAGTAAAGAATGCACAACTTCAACAATACGAGCACTTTGAAACTTAACGGACCTTGACTGGAACACGTGAATATTTTTCACAAATTCGAGGCTCAGCCTGAGTAAATGAGTCTATAATCAAGAAACACAGCGGTAATTTGGAATTCGAAACGGGTCTATTTTGGCCTGCAGGCTCAAGCTTGTCTCAACTGAATCCAAACTATTTTCATAAAACAAGCTATTTCGTACCTTATCTAATGGCTTGCCGATCTTTGAATGGAGTGAATGTGGATCGGTTTCTTGTGTTGATTCCCTGTCGTAGTTATCTTGAGTGCTACCAGCCGCACAATAATAGTCATTATTGATCTCGAACAATGGTTCTGGTGTGGTGACTTCTCTCGTCTCTTCGACTTCTGATTCATTGTCGCTTGAGGTCGAGTCATCAGTATCGGAAATCCTTGGTCTCTTGAGCTCATACGCACCATACAGCTTTATATGTTTGTTAACTTTGTAACATGAATAAAATACTTGACCTTTACGTAAATTACAAAGACATTTTGAACTCATTTCTTAAGCTGCATGAAGACGGCCATGAAGACGTTGCTGAACAGGCCGGGTTACTAAGGAAGCAGAGGGTTGGCGGGAAATTTTTGTAGATCACGTGGATTCTTGTGGCGGTTCCTTTTGTAGCTTGTTCGGCCAAACCTCGAGCTCCTTGATTTGTTAGAGTTCTTTAAGGCCTATTATAATAATCTAGATTTGCTACCTTTATACTGCTGCTTTTTTACAATGTCTGATCTAAAATGTTTAATTGTAAAATCAGGGATCGATCTTGGACTAGATGCCCTTGAAATCCTTAAAAATGAAGGGGTGAGTAAACGAACACAATACTGAACGGCCATGTAGTGAATGAATATAAACTTATATTTTGAAGATCTTTATCCAAAAAGTTAGACGATTTGAATGTCCTTAAAAATGCAAACGAAGCAGATCTAAGGTTAGCTGGCTTGAAAGTGGGAGATCTAATCAAAGTACGCCAGCTGCAGAAAGATAGCGAAGACCAACTGGATGAGCTGGATAGCACCATGGAGCTAGAATCAACAGCTGAGGAAGAAAGAATAGGCTCACATAATCACGATGATTCTCAGGTAAATTTGAATTTAGCAGTAAACAGCTTCTGAGATCAGGGGGAAAACGATGGTACAATCGACTGTCTTTTCACACATTCTCTGGTAAAGTAAACCCCCGGAATTGCATTACCGTTATTTGGCGCGCTTTTACTATTTTAGGTGACGTCACCTAAATAGCTAACTAATAGGCAATGTGCATGAAAGCTCACAAAGCACTCTCGTAAACCGAGTCCTGCTGAAATGGAACATGGAGGTCAAAGGGAATCCTTTTTTATTTTCATCTGTTGAAGTACTCACATGCTTTTCAAACTTGCATTATAATTATTACATTATTTTAGCGTTTGCACTCTATAGTTCGCAGATTACTGCATCTTTTAAATATTTTCTCTCCTATTCAAATACTCTTCTACTTCCTGAGTCAGTATACTATAAGATCTATATCCACTTTACAGTTTTGCTTTATAGCTATTCAATATGGCTACCTAAGTTAACCTTATTTTCGTTATTTACTAGTTTTTCTGGTCGTACTTAATTTGGAGCCTAGCTCTGTTGTGCGTACCATATCACGGTGAATTATATGTTTAGTTTAGTTTTTTATACTCCTATATTTACATCGTGGTTAAAGTTAGATAGATAGATAGATAGACAGACAGACAGACAGATAGATTTCCCTAGAAAATGTCAGAGAAAACATTGTCAGATGAATTTTTAGAAGAGCCAAAAAAGCATAAGAACTCAGTTTCCCATCATGCTTTGTGCTAGAAATTCGAGCTCATGCACATTGGCTATTTAAATAAATTTATCTAACTATTTCACAGTTTGACTAAATGCACTCTAGAACATTACGCATAAAAATCGTATCGGTGGAATGGTAGCTTTGTAATAATATTTTTGCAATCATAAATAAAAGACTTTGAATCATCGACACTAAATGTGACCTCGCTCGTTCGTGATATAAAACGGAAAACTCATGAATAAAAACGATATCAAGTTCTTAACATGTAACAATCTCTATGTATCTGTGAATGATACCGTACTTCATTAAATCTATCAATGTACATAGTGGGTATTGCATATAAGTTATGTGTTTGGATTATGGGGTGTTCAGGGGGTAGGATGTCAGGCATAAATTAGTGGATGATGTTATTTAAAGTCAGCGTGCTTAAACTTACCCTATGCACGAAGCAAACAGAACTAAATGCCACTAATGTAGCAATGGAAAACAAAGGATTTTAAATCTAAATCCTATTAGTGTACATAAGGGTTGTTTACAACTCGAATTTAGTACTCAATTATTATTTAAAAATGATCAGTCATGGGTTTTAATAAGTCCAGGAAACAAATGTATATGAGATGGGCATTTGAAATTTTTCTACTTACATATTTTTGTACCTTTATAGAAATGTATTCAATGCTCCAAATGCATAAAAACCTCACAGATGAAAAGGAAGAAATAAGTTTACCTGAGCAAACCTCAGAGGGGGAAACCACCCTCAATGAACTCAAGTGATGATTAATTAAGTATAAGAAGATGAATTTCTACAGTGTGGATATATATTCAGGCTTTTCTTGCATAACAGGATGTAAATTAAAAAAATAATTAAAATTAATCAATGATCTGACAAATGTTGACCCTCTTCATCATTCTTTTGCTGTAGGAAAATGCAATTTTTGCGTGGAAAACTGCCAAGATCTATAAAACTGTGTCAAAAGCAAAGGAGTCAGCCAGAAAAAAAATTAAGGTTAGAAATCAACGTGGTCTTTGAATTACCAGCAATCAATTTTAAAATATTTTTGCGATGAAGAATAAAATAATCACTTATGGACTATATTTTTTCAAGGCCACAAGGAAAAAAGTAGAAGAGACAAATGGTAACTATATAATATTATGTGATATTTACTACATGTGCCATGACTCCAAATTCTTGGTGTAACAATTAGTAGTATATACACTTATATACTAGTGATATACATGTATACACCTAATTATTATTATTCAAAGGGCTGTTTTAAGTTGTAAGTAATTATTGGTTATTCATATTCTCATAGGCTCAGTATTAGTTTGATGCATGCCAAATATTAAAGTGCCCCTTGGATGAAAATGGCTCAAACTTCTATTGAGCTGAAACTTCCTAAGAATACTCTTTAAAGGTCAAATAATCACTGTATGAAGTTTTTTCTCGATATTCAGGATGAAAGTAGATTTTTATGGTTATTTTTCGGAGTCCGTGACGTCATTCATTTCTTTGTAGTTTATGATCAAAATATCAGTAGTACAGAAAGAAAGAAATACCCAAACATCCCCAAAATATAAATCATAGTCACAAGTAATGCAAAATAAGCCCATCAGCCGACCTTCGGGCTTTATAGGAATACAATAAATCAATGACTTATATACAAAGAAATGTATGGAGCGATGTTTGATGTTGAGTATATGAAGTCACAGACTAATAATAAATAACCGTACAAATATCATACTTTCGTCGTGAATATCGAGAAAAAAACTTCATACAGTGATTATTGGACCTTAAAAGAGTATTCTTGGGAAGTTTCAGCTCAATCGAAGTTTGAGCGAGTTTTGTCCAAGGGGCACTTTAACATTGCTTGTCCTCAAATAAAGACCCTGCAATACCTTAAATACAAGATGTCAATGCCTACAACTACAATATTGTAAATATAAGAAAAAAGAAATAAAAAGAAATGACATCTTTTCTTTTTATTTATTTACAGATAATGAGGATAAACCAGTAAGTTCTATCACATCAACATCAGCTAAGGTAATAGATCAGTAAAATTAATTTCAAAATTGTGTACTTCCGAATAAAATAAAACCTTGCAATAATTTGTGCCAAAAACTTGTTATTTCTATTTCATTTACAGCATATTTATTGTACTTGTTGATTTGCAGGGCCATGATGGTGGAGATCTAAATGTAATCCAGTGGGTGGCAGTTGCATATGAGGAGGCATTCTTTATCGGCCGTATAATGTCAATCAATACCCGAGTACTTGATGATGACAATGAAGTGACTGTCATCTTTCTAACTAAAAAGGGTAGTATGTATATGTGGCCCAAAAAGAAAGATATTGATATTATTAGCACTAAGTTTATTTTTTCAAGTGAAGTTGTGCTGACAAACAAAGAGGTAGGTCCAGGCACAACATTGTGCAATGAAGATCAGATTAGGAAGACCTACGAAGACTATAAGAAAAAATACCTTTATTAAATTTAATTCATATTTATGAGAAGCTTTAAACCACGCATAGATTTTTCCCTATCTAGCTTTGATTTTATTTGGCACTATTATTATTATTATTATTATACATATTATTATACAAGATTTTAAACCTTTTAATGTTTATATTGATTTACAAATTTTATATTTATACAAATATAAATTTTGTACAAAATTTATAGTTATATTAATGATATTTATGATATTTGTGATTTATGATATTTATATTTATTGATATTTATGATTTACGATAATTATATTTGTGATATTTATATTTGTGATTTATACAAGTAAATAAAGCATATAAATGGAACATTATGCAAGTGCTATTAACCTGTATTGGGATATTCTCTATGTGCCAAAGATAGGCTAATAATCCCATCTCTGAACAAAGTATACATACAGTATAAGTAAGGCTACACATTTGGTAAGTTCTTATCATTATTATTCTATATTCATGTAACGTCATCATCATAAACTGTTATTATTCCAAGTTAAAAAAATCATAGGGTTTTAACTATCTTTTCATGGCCTATGAATTGTTGTATTCAACCTATGCATACTGCACATAAGTTTTCATGGGTACTGAAAATACCATGAAGTTGGTTTTCATGGGTACTGAAAGTACCATGCAGTTGGTTTTCAAGGGTACTGAAAATACCATGAAGTTGGTTTTCATGGGTACTGAAAATACCATGAAGTTGGTTTTCATGGGTACTGAAAATACCATGAAAGGTTAAAAAAAGAAAAAAAAATCATGGGGTCGTGAATCTTTTGCGTTTAAGGGGAAAACCCCAGGATTTTCATGGGGCCATGAATTTTGCAACCCCCATAAAAATAAAAAAAAACATGAAATATACCCATGTAGAAAAACACTGGTGTATTCATGGGTTTTTCATTGCCATTAAAATGCCATGAATAGCATGCTGCCATTTTCATGGCATTTTTATGGGTTTTTCAGGGTGCAATTTTGAGCCCAAAGGAATTTCATGGGCCATGAAACGTGCACGTTTCATGGGGTTTTTCATGGAATTTTCATTGCAATTTCATGGGGTATTTCCCATGAAATAACCATGAAAATATCCCATGAAAAAAACATGAAATCTCCATTAAAAGCTAGTGAATTTCCCATGAAATAATTCACAGGATTTTCATGGGTTTTCATTTCATAGTGAATGGGCATACAAATATGCTATCTGAAA